TGGTTTGCGTTGCAAATCTTCTTGACGAATCTACTGGTTTTTAGTCATGATTATCTTACTTTCTTAGCATACTTACCTTACTTGCTTTCATTGATTTTATATAATAAATTGTCCGCCTGAGTGGCAAGAGTGTCGACCGCCCTGGAATTTAATCTCTGGCTAAATTAATAATAATAATGATAATAATAGTAATATATAATAAATTATATGTAAAACAAGTTAAAACACTATAGTGCCATTAAATACCCCTCATTACCCTATAGTTATTCATACAACTGTTCAAGTTAAGGTGGTCAAAAACTGGTCCTATCCGAACCATTTTCAATACCGTTTGCTTTTAGGCTGAAATATCTCGGCCTGTAAGCTGAACAAAAAAAAGGATAGTCAGACGGATGGACAGACAGGTTTAAATCGATTCCAAACGGGATTCAGTATAATAAAAGGTGAATTTATCTCGACTACTTCCGGGTATTGCATACATCTGCACAGGTTTAATATGTTCTTGTAAATAAATATTAAAAACTAGGCTTATGGAGAAGTTAAAACGTATACCAATTAAAAATTATAATCTGTTGGAGGCTGATGTTTCATTATCATGCACTAACATATGTACATGTTTTAAGCACGTATTTACAGGCGGAGAACTAATTAGGGTTTTCCAGCGATTCCTTCCAAGAAATTTATTAAAAATTAAAGCAACCTTCGAGTTTTTTGGCTACAATGTCAATCTTTTTATTGTTCGGTGTGAACTCAAACCATTATACACAGGCTGGGGTACTGATGGTATTAAGACCTACGGGGTAAGAAAATTTTTTTCGTTTTTAATACTGAGTAGTGGCCAAAATAATGTTTTTTTGAACCATAAAAGTTATGAAATTTGCTTTGAGTTAACAATGTAGTGGTTATGTATAATTTGTATAACCGCATTATAGGTAGATAATGGGCCACTTGTTATTGTCACAATACTTCAGTCCGATATATGTTTTAATACATCCTTTACTCGATAAAAGCATGTAATAAGTAATATGCAGAGAAATATCTTATGAAGCAAGGGCTGTCTCAAGTTTGGAGTATCCCTAGGCACAACCGTAGCAATAGAATCCTTTCCTATGAAATACATATCATTTCACATCGCTATAACGGGACAATCCCCTTTGACTACATTGTCGTGCCGCGCAATAGCGACTATAGAAAGCGCCTAACTTTCACACGTTCCGAAAGAGAAATTGGAGAAGGAGTATTTACGTAAGCGGCAACTAAAAATAGAATTGAATGTGACGTGAACTCACGTCGGCGGTCTCGAATGCATTAGTATAATACCGATATATTGATAAAAGGAAATGTATTAGTACGACAAAGGGGTTTAAGAAAATCGACAAGTGTTAGCGGGTAGTAGCTTGAGTAAACGATAACTGGAGTATATCACATATGCTTCCGACCTTTTCCTTTCCCTTTTCTTATTTTTGTTAATGTAAGCTCATGAATGAGCTCAACCGATTTTTATATAACATACTTTCTTATGCGTACCAACTAGTCGCCAAAACTGGTAGATTCTCTCTGATGATGAAAAAACCCGAATTCGTCTAATTATCGTTTTTAAACCGAGCAACGAAGACATTAAAGCATCTCACTTTAAATTTTTTTCATTTTTTTTGTAAATATTTGTTTTTTTTTTATTAGAATTTCATACAAATTATTTCCACTTAAGTTGATATTCGTAAAATATGCATAAAATTCTATGCACAGATGTATTTGAATGCTAATACATATGTGCGTACGTTTATTTCAACATAAATGTGTATACTCGAGTTTTATTCTTTCTAAAGAGTAATAAAATTTATTATTAGACAACAGCAGCTATTAGTAGCTTATTTGCGGTACTTTATCATCTGCTCATTTGCTCATAAATTGTAGATAAAAATTTTCTTCTTTTTCGCAAAAATATATATTTTTTCAATTATGTTAACATTTAAAAAATCACTCAATTTTACATTCATTAAAAGAAGATTTTTAATAGAAATTTTCCTTCATCATAATATATATATATATATATAATAACTATAACATTTTTAATAACTTTAAAATAAATTTTTCGAAAATTTGTAAATTCAACGATTGCTTAAGCAAGAAAGATCGCTGATGTTTGAGTATTTTAGAGATTACTTATGGTTAAGGATTGGTTCGTTGCCATGACTTCAGCTGAACTTTTCCGAAAAATACGATCAGCAATCTATTAAAGAACTGATTAATTTACCTCACATTTGATGGAGACAAATCATAGTTTAATTGTAGTTGCATTTGGTCGCAATAATAGTGAATTGCCGATCCGTAAAGGTATAACGTTTACCGATTAGCCGCATACCTCTCAGTCTGCAGTCGCATCCTGGCCCTCTTCTTCAAAGAAAGGTGCTACTGGTAAAATCAAGCAGTTTTGGATCGAGAGTTTAGAAGATCTGCCTATCGCGGTGAGCCAACCTTTTTGCCAAATTTTACCAATGTCCTCTACGGTCTTTTCTCGTGATCTTTGTGAACTTTCCTTTCCAATTTGTGGCGTTCGCAATAACCAGTAAGTCGGTTTTATCATGTCGCGCAGGTTTCCACTTTCTCTGCAAACTGTTTAACTTTGACGGCTGAAAAAATTAAAACAATCATTAAGTTAGGCCTGAAATTACATTTTTGCAACAGTGAACCCTTGCATTATAGATGGGTCGTAGAAAAGATTCAATTCAATAAGCCATTTCGATTGTTCTCGTATTGTAATACAGTTTTTATTAAATATTTCTAAAGAAATTGGGTGCGCATTCTTTTCAGTGTACCGCGAATTGATCGCAAAAAATCGAAAAACTCGAAATGGCAAGTCGCCATAAAAATGGTCAATCCATTAAGAAAATTAGTCCAATCTTACAAAAAAAAAGAAGTTGATTTTCTTAGCACGGCACTACTTATGTTCACTAATTACTCCTCACACTATGTACCTACTCCTACTGTTGCTCTCATCTTTTACTTCACTACCTCCACTACTGCTTGCTTACTCCTTCGGCTTTCGGGTTCATTACTTATTCCTTTCCACTACTTACGTACCTCCTCGACTACTTGCCTATTCATTCCCCATTCCTTACACTATTCGTTTATTCCTTCCACTGCTTAACTAGTCCTTCGACTACTTACTTATTTATTGCCGATTCCTTACACTATATACCAGTTCTTCTACTACTTACTTACTCCTTCGACTGCTTACATATTCATAGCCTACTTCTTACACTTTTTGCTTATTCCTTTCACTGCTTGCTTAGTCTTTCGACTATTGACTTATTTATTATTTATTCGTAGCTCTATATACCACTTTCGTCCGCTATTTACTTACTCCTTCGATTCCTATTCGTTGCTTATTCCTTAGTCTTCTTCCACTGGTTACTTACTCCAATTTACCCTCTCGACTATTTCCCGTTTGTTCCACTACTTATTTACTTCTTCGACTTCATGGCTTATTCCCTACCCTACTTATTCCTTCCACTGGTTACTTACTCCTGCAATTACTAAGGTACATTTCATTGCTTATTTTCCCCTTACTTAGTTATTACTTGGTCTATTCCCTTACTCCTTTGACTATATTTATAATTATTTCTTTCCACTGTTTCTTAGTTCTCAGTATTTTTCGCTATTTAGTCACAATTTCCAATTATTCCGTCTGCTACATACACATATATGGGAAAATAAATGTAACGTTGAAAAAATAATGTAAATGTCGAAAGAGAGGTACGGCACTCCCTAAAGAAAAACGGTTGGTTATTTTAATTGAAGATGAAACAAAACGGACAGACAAATACATTTAACCAAACCATCATCGTAATGCAAATTTAACCAGAATGCCGTTGCATTATCTTTAGTGTTATAGAACATATGTTTGTGGATATAATTTCAGTTTCAAAACATGAAATTTACATTCCATTAGCACACATTAGCACGCATAGGGTAAGTGAGATCCGCTTACTCTAAAACACATAGACAGTTTATTGTGCTAGAAAAAAAAAAGAAGAAAAAGACCGCAATCCATACCAGGGCTATTTCATCTATATTGAAGCTACATAGACCTTTTATGAAAGACTGTTAATGGAAGTGTGAGTCGCGTGTTACAAGTTTGCTTCATCACTTTGTATAAAGCTTAAAGTTAAAAATAAATTAATGAAAAATAAGTTGTATGTATGCATTAATAAATTGTTGAGAATTTTTTTTTCAACAATAATGACTTTAGTAGACGGCGCGCTATAAACGCTCTCATGATTAATCTGTTAAAATGAAAAATAAATAAAGTATAAAATAATTTACTTTTACAGATTCACAAATATTGATAAAATACCAGATACTAGAAAGTGTGTGGTGGTGTTGTGTGTGTGTGTGTGTGTGTGTGTAAGTAAGTGTTCTTACAAAATATTTTTCACTTTCGGTTTTCAATATAACGCTACTTGAACATGGCAATTAACTGGCGCTCTCATATTATAAATGCCATGTAATCACAATAATAAATCTCCAGCTACTTCATTAAGTTAACGAGCTGTGTGCGGTAGTAGTGCAACAGCAGAAACGATAGAAGAAGATAATTAGAAGAAATTGCATTAAAGTAAATTGCAAGCATAGACACTATGTCTATCTCTTCGTAAGCTTGATCACGAATCAATTTGACTTTATATTGCTTTTGCTTAGGGTTAATTCAAATATAATATGACATAATATTGGCTGAGTCCATGATTTTTATCAATACGTATGTGTTAGTAATTTAATTAAGTAATAACTTGCATCAATGTCTTTATTAATCCAGGAAAATCTCTCTACCCCCCCACGATGTTATTAAGCGTAACAAAAGCACAACTTTTTCCGAAGAAACGAAAAAAAATAAATAAAATAAAAAAAATTGAAGTTTTCTTTAAAAATAAATTTTTTGCTCTTTGTTATCATAATTTTTTTAAATTTTAATTTCATTTCTTTTCTTTATTTTTATGCAGATTAAATTTTACAATTTTTATTTGAAAAAAACGACAACAAATGTTTATTTCGATTACTTTCGTTTTCCATTATCGCACCATCATCTAAACTGTAATCCATACCCACCGACAATACTCAGTTTTTTGTTGTTGCAAAGTCTTCTTCTTTCTTCACTATAATTAACATCGTACGGAAATTCGGACATTATGAGTATAATCGATAGCGGTAGATATCGCCTGAGGAAAGATTGGGCGAGTGTCTCGATACCATCATTGGTTGATATCGATGAACGTGCTGATGATGATGTCGATGAGACAGATAATGCGACTTTAAATGTAACATCACCGTTGCCACAAAATGCTCAAAAACCACCCAGACGCAGTTCATTGGCATTAAGTTTATTCTCCAATAAAGCCGACAAAGCTCAGAAACGGCGAAGCTCGATTGCTGTTACGTTTTTCAAACGGGACAACAGTAAGGTAAGCGGAATGAAACAATATACAACAAATAAGAAAATTATATTCGGTCGTGACCGAATCTTTTATACCCATCACCGTTACCCTAACAAAGACTCTTGAAGAATGCATGCCAAGCCAAAAAAAAAATGCCGAAAGCAAAACTGGTTGCAATTTTCGTTGCATAGGCGCGGGAGCTTGGTAGGCGCGTCCATTTAGCTTAGGTCATTTTGAAAGTCTTTTGCAAATTTGTAAGCGATATCTTCATTTTTGCGATCAGAAGAATGTTTACTACAGATGAGCATACTACAAACAGATGGACAGACGAACAGACGGACATGCTTAGATGCATTCCGGATTTGAAACTGGCTAAGGACTTTAACGTTTTTGGTTGTGTACGTTAATTTTTATCCACTATAAGATTGAGTGGACATGGTCTTAACTTCCTATTTTTTATACAGGCACTACAACGTCGCCCATAAGGGATACGTTTTAGTTTTTGCAGATTTACCTGTTGTAGTTTAAGAGTAATAACACATGAACTAGTTTTGCATTCCTGCTGGAAAACAGAGATGTTCTCACTTTACGTGGTATTATAGGCATATGCTTGGACCGATTTTGTCCATTTTTAGTGCTCGCTTGCGTGCAAGAACTTCCAATATTTTTGCTAAATTTGAAGTCAAAGTGATTTTTGCGGCAAATCGGACAGACGGCCATGCTTAAATCGATTCAGAATTTGATGTTGATCAAGAATACCTTGAATATGTACTTTGTGGATTTCCTGAGGCTTCCTTCTGTGTGTTGTAGACGTTTTTGACAAAATGGATATACCCCTCATCCTTCAGTGAATATACAAATATGTTCGCTTTTGTGGCGAATTTTTCATTATGATTTAATTACACCCACTTCTGCAGTAAGCTTTTAAAGGGACCGAGTAAATAATGTCTGTGCCAAGTTTTAAGTTAAAACTTGTTGCCGATAGTAATTTGCGATTTTTCAAGGATGGCGGGCGCATTTCGTTTATATTTTTCAAAACGTCATGGATGACCCGAATAAATGCTTTTGGTATGCTTTAGATTAAAATTTGATACAGATTGTAATTTGAGAGTTCGTCTATTGTGGGCGCCATGATGGGCTACTTCCCCTTACGTTTCTCACGAACTATGAAAATATTTGCATCAAGGTTTGGATTAAAATTTGCTACAGATTGCAATTTAAAGGGGTTCGTTCGTTTGTCTATTGTGGGTGGGATTGTGGGCGACGTTCACTATGAAGGTATTTGTGGCGAGGTTTCGAATGAAGCCTTGCAAGCTATACATGGGCATGATTGTAGGCGAATTTTATTAATTTTTTCATGAATTTTGCAACGGCCTTGGAAAGACGTGTTCGTCTACTCTGTGCATGGGTCCGGTCGAATTTCGCTTATTTCTCCACGAAGTATGAAATAACCCTAATACATATGCTGTGTCAAGATTTGGATTAAAATTTGCTATAGATTACAATTTAAAAGGTTTCGCCTATTTTGGGCGTGGTTACGCCTGTTATTTTTTTATGAACCTGTTGATGGCTCTTATAAATGTATATGGCAAGTAGCAGGTTAAGCCCTAGGGGTTGTAGCTTAAAAGTATTTTTCTTTTTTAGGTTTGACAGTGGGACAAACCACACTGATTTTATGGTAAATTTAGAGATGTCTCTGCTGGTACATAGATGTGGCAATTTTTATATTAAGATTTGCTACAGATTTCAGTTTAAGCTTTTCCGCCTATTGTGCTTGTGATAGTTTGCGAATTTTAGGAATTTTTTAAGAGACTTGGAGATGGTCTTATTGATTTCATTAAGGGCAAGTTATGCGCCAACAAAGCTTCATCTTTCTGTCCACTTCCAGATTGTGAATTTTGTGAAAGTATGTTCGTCAATTTTGAAGCTTGCGCTTTAATTCTTGGAAACGAAAATAAACAATAGTCATACGGACGGATGGACAGTCGTAACTTAATGGGTGCAAAATGTAATGATGTTTAAAATTGTTTGCATCGACGTGACATCGAACAATAGTAAGAATAATCTGAATTGCATTCGCACCATACGACCTGCAGAAATCTACTCAGCTTGGATCATCCTTGACACTAGCAGGCGAGGGCGAATCAAGTCTATCGATGTTTCAGTCTTGGGTGTGTCATCACAATATTATCAGATGAAGTAACGATCGTTCTTCGCTTTGCTTAAGAATGCCTTAAAAACCCTCTTTTACCAAGCTTCTTAAATACAAAATACCCTTACGCTAGTCTTGTGGTGGGTGTAATGCATTCCGTAAATGAAAATGTTCTCCTTTTACTTCATTCCTCTTTTATTTATTTATTTATTTTTTTTTTGCAGAATTCTTCAAAAGAATCATACGAGTCGGCTGTAAAACATGAGAAAAGTGACGGTTCGAATGCATCTAACAGTCCTGAGCTTGCATTCAATTCCGATGAGAATATACGATCGTCATCACCTAATGAACCGGAAAAAATGATGTATTTCGATGATGGCACTAATGCCCGGGGAATTATGAAAAATTTGTTGAGTGCCGGTGGACCGAACGGTGATGCGATAATTGATAAAGAACGTTATCGTCGTAGACGTAGTTCTTTGCAAACTAAATTAGATAGACGTCGTCGTAAAAATGTCGAAGTTGCATTTCCGATACCCGATCAAAGTTTGGGTTCACAAAGCGATTTAACCAATGATGGTAGCTCGGCAATTGGTTCATCATCGGGTGATATAACATGCGATGATGTTGAGCCCAATCACTCGGCCTATTATCCGCGACAAAAACGTCATTCATGGTGGAATATATTCATACCAGATAACATGAAAAACAGGTACAAAAATTTATTTCGTTTTATTTTCAATTTTTCTTAATATATTTGTGAATAAATTGAAAGTCACGTGAATGCAATGCAAAAAGCTCTAACCAAAGCCAGTTAATTGAATGAATTAATAATAATTAATAATTAATAATAAATTTTTTAATGAAAGTTACGTGCTGTAATGCCATAACAAAGGGAACTCCTAAGAAAATAACTGAAATTCCATGATATATAAAATCTATCTTAACATTATCTCTCTCTCTCTCTCTCTCTCTATCTATCTCTAGAAAGTATATACATTTTTGTGTCCTTCTAACTCTTTGCGCGTTGAGGTAAAACTAATTAACTTAAATGCCTTTCCCTTGCATGCTATCCAGATTTAATTAATGCTTTTTTTCTCTGTCTACTTGGTTTTGGGTATACTAAATTTTCTTATAGGTTTCTCCTGCCTCCTAATGGTATAAAGTAGACCATTCTAAGAGACCCTAAAACTTTTGCCTGGTATTCTCTAAGTTAGAAAATTTTATAATTCAAACGTTCAAATAGGTTGATAGATCTCTCTTGAGAAACGGCTTAACTTGCCTATAATGGGATGTGAACGAATTATACCTTGCTCCACCTGCCGGCACACTGATGATAAGGAAAAGATTATATCTTATAAGCTAAACCAGATATTGATAGAACATTTGATACCCATTGACTTAAGTGAGATCAACTAAAAATTCAAAAGTAATTGCAATCGGGGAGATAACGCATCCGCAGGTGCATAATACAATTGCAAATTATTCAGCATGTATTATAATAGATAATAGTAACCTGAAATTTATTTGAAACACAAATAGCTTTGGATTGATGAACTTAATATCATCGCAATTAATCAAAATTTTTATTATTCTAAATGGGACAAGTTGCAACACTATAGTACGACGTGGCCTAACATTACATATCCTACAATTATTCATATAAGCATTTTCTGAAAAGAGCTGTTATATGGGAAGTGGCCGGAAAAGTGGTTTCCGTCGAACTATTTTCAATTGCGTTTGTCCTTGAATCAAAGCACAGTTCGTGTATGTGTAAATTGTAGGTTAAACACAGATTTACATGGACAGACATCAGATGGACAGGTGGACGGACAGACGTAGATCAGATTATGATTCTGAATCGATCGGTATAATAAAAGGTTCGATCTATCTCAAACCTTTCTGATCTTTACTTACGTCTGAACTAACTTAATATATTCTGTACCACGAGTGGTGTAGGGCTTAAAAAACATTGATGTAGAATTTGACGCGAATGTATATGAAATTAACGTTAATCAGACAGACAGGCTTAGATCAACTGAGATTATGATTCCAAATCGATCGATATAATAAAAGTTGGGTCTATCTTAACGTTAGCACTGTACCCTGTACTACTTTTTAAGTTGCTGTCTTCATGCCTTAAAAAGATGACAGTGTATGAAATTTTAAAATTTTCCACCATTCCGCGTAAGATGCTAAGAGCTAATTGATCTCTAATTAGAGAAAAGTTTGTCAACACTTTATATATTGTTTGCCGCGATTATCATGTTGAGTATTTAAAATTCACTTTTGGTCGATTTAGCTTCCAAAAATTATTTATGAAAACATTTACATTTTTAGAGTTTTGACATTTCAAGGTGAGACGAAAAGAGATAAGAATTTCTATTATTTTTTTTCCCCCTTCTTCATCTGTACTCATTCAACGTCACGAGTTATAACGAATTCATCAAAAAAAAAAAAAAAAAAAAAAAAACGAAAAAGAAAAAGAAAAAGAAAAAAAAAAAGATCAACAAACAAAAAACTCTTGGAATAATTCTTTTCTAGATAATGAAAATACTTTGTATGGAAAGTTACCGGCGCTGTGTGACAAATGCTAACAAAACAAACAAAATCCGTTTATATTGCTTAAGCATTTTTATTAAGAAATAATAATTGCCTTCGCAATTGGATTCACCTTGTCTATGCTTATGGGATAGGTCTAAAAAAAGAAAAACGAAAACAAGAAAAGAAAATTGATTTTGTTGTTGTTATTCTCTTAATTGACTGGAAGAATGCAATAAAAACTTTTTTGCATTCGTTCACTTTGTTATTAACCGGAACATAAACTGAACTATTTGCAGTTAATGCTTAAACGAATTAATTTCTCCCTCTCGTATTTAGACAATTGTTTTTGTTATTGTCACCCAATGAAAAACAATTTATTTCGTTTAATAAAATCCTAAGAAACTAAAAACAAAGAAAAACAATGTCCGTCTTTAAATACTCTACATCATTCTACAATTATTCACATACCAAAATGTTCTAATGCGAATCAATTTGCCAATACGTCAATGTATCAAATTTTAGAAAAATATCTCATAAAATGCGGCGTCTAGGTTGAAGACAAAAAATGCAACACGAACAGAGAGTGATTCCGACCCGATAGGAAACCAAGATGGACAGACGGACGGATGGACAGACAAGATTAAATCGATACAGAAAGTGATTGTGAATCGATCGATTTAATAAACGATAAGTCTATCTCAAGTCCTCCTTGGTATTGCTACTCTGGCACGGCAAATGGTGTGTAGGGTATAACAATAGACAATAGACAATATATAATATTAAATAAAAATTTCAATTTGTAAAATAAGATTTCTGCATCGAAATGCAAACAAACATACAAACGAACGTTTACATAACGAGATCAAAAAGAGTTAATTGAACCCAAATGATTTAATTAACAATAATAATAATAATAGTAATAATAGTAATAATAATGAAACAATAACACAATCAATTAGCGTAAATACACATACACATACATACACATGCACACATTTGACGCATGTATAAAAGCTCACTTGCACAATAAATGTGATGAACACGTTTTAATAGCACGCGATCGATGTTGCGTTAATTTTTTCATTTTTTTTTTCTCTGTTTTTTTTGTTTTTGTTTGTTTTTTTTTTTTTTTTGCTTTTTAATAACAAATAAACAATAAATGCTATGCAAGTGAGTATGTGTATGTGATCGTTTGCGTTTGCACAGAGATTCTAATTATATAACGTAGAAGAAAGAATAAAATATAAAAGAAATGTTGAATACTGATACTTATCTTATCTGTTATCTAATGCTTTTAGATAAACTATTCTTTAAACTTTCCATCAGACATTATAAAAAACAAAAAACAAAAAATTTATTAAATTTGGAAATGAATGAAACATGTATACGAAGAGATTAATTATTTTTTCATACATACATTTATCAGTAGCTAGATAGACTTTTCGTATAACATTTCTAAGTACGCTTTAGCAATATCAACATATGTGGAAGAATTTTTCATATATATTTTCAGAAGTGAAGTTGACTGCTTTCTTCTACGTTTCACGGAAGACGTTGTAAGATCGTAGGAAACAAATTTTTGTATTAATGTCCATTTTTTTTTCTTTTCATTTTTAATATTTCATGGCATAACCTAAGTGATTTGATAAAAATTAACGAGAATTTTATAATTTTTTCCAGGGTAAGTTGTAATATAATGCACTTATTCAGTAACAGTTGCAATACTCATAACAGTCATAATTTAATTGAATTAAACTGTATTGCCCCTGATACGAAAGGGACTTATTTTCGTGAATGTAACATCTAATCTATATTCCGTCATCGTCAAGGTATTTAGCCCTTCACAATATCATACAAAACTTAATAGCACAATTTTCAATTTGTGAAACCCTATTTCCGAATTGATCAAAAATTAACGAGAACTTTTAATAATCTCAAGGGAAAAATTTATTTAATCTGTGAATCCCAGATATTTGTTTACTATTAGTTGCAGTACCTGTTTATTTCTATCTATCTCTACTTCTCCTCTTACATCGAAATATCAAAAGGTTAAACCTGCAATCAAGTAAAGCAAGCAGCACTTTTTTTCTTTTATTTTTAAGGAGAGCTGCTTTTCCATCCATCAACTTCATGCTCAAACGTCTGCTAGGTGAGTTTTGAATCTTGGGGCTACAAAAAATTAACAAGGACTTTTGACTTTCTAAACAAGCGTATACTTAATATTTGATATTTTTTCCATCTATATGCTTCATATTGCATGTAGTTAATTTCGAACTCAGTCTTCGATTTCGCAAAAAAAATATTCTCCTCTGAGTGTTCTCTTAAATTTTGAAAATATGAAAAAGTCAGAAAATGGATGAACATAAAACGATACGTTGTTCTTCCTATTTACTAACAATTGCCATAATTGATTATCATCTAAATAAATACAAATCTCTATAGAGAAAATCAACAATCTCGAAAAAAAAATTCCAAAATGTATTGAAGACAGTTAAGAAAAGAATTTTAATAAAGGCAATGTTATGATCAAAAACTAACGAGAAGTTTTCAATTAAGTTACACGTCGAATTAGTACCGTTGACACGCGTCGGTAGCAACGTATCCCACGTATATGAAAACTAGCAACCAGGTTCAAGGTTCATCTGAACTTAATCTATAAACAAAAATTAATTTAATGTTTTCGGAGTTTTTTTCGGGAAGTTATCAGCGAGATTGTTTGTTTTAATCTACTTATTATTAAGGGGTTGTAGAGATCAATTGTGGAGTCACCTGAAACTTGTATTAAGGTCAAAGATGATTGGGATTATAATAAATATTCTGTATCACGGAGAATTTTTTTCAAAAATATTATTTTGATGATAAAAGTTTAGTTGTTGTTAACTTCTTTCAATTGTGGAGGTTGCATATGCGAGGTGATCGGAACCATGTTCAATAACTTTCGTCTGTGCACCAAATTTCGTCAAAATATCTCAAAAATTGCGACCTGCAGCTTGAACATAAAAATACATGGACATACATCAGGTGGACAGACGGACGGACAGGCTTACATCGATTTAAAAAATGATTCCGCATCGATCGGTAGTTGGGTCGATCTTAAGCCCTTCTGGATTCTTACAAACTTCCCTGTACGAGTGGTGTAGGATATAAAAAGAAAAGTTATTCGCAAAA